GGAAAATTAAGCTTTTTATTTCCCATATGACGATGATTATTCTCAGAACCAGTCTCGAATGTGAATACATCACTGGTTGCTTCGGTGTAGCTGCACTCATTCGCATGCGTCTACTGATGTCATTTAGGGAAAATGTTCCTTATGGATGTAACATTGAATAATTTTAGTTTGTGTGCAATCGAGAAGAATAAACCATTGTAGACTATCAGCGACACTGTCTCAATGCGCAGTTTGTTCAGAGTTGGTCACGTGCTTCATTATTACATACGGCATGAGCAAGTATAGCGCTGTGTCAAAGTCACTGTAACTGGATGTATGGTGTGACCACTCAATTCTGTAAACAGAAGTGTATGCACAACGTAGGGAGGATGAGCTGCATTGTAAACCACTAGCTTCTACGTAAACGGAACACCATGTGGTAAATCGGTCCTCAACATGCTTCGTGTGTTGGAGCGTTTTCGACCGTCCAATGAATTTTCCTGGGCTGCTTGTGTGACGTATTAGTTTGGTTTCACTCAAATGCCGATTTCTCTTCGGTCTCATAGCAGCTTCACTGCTGGTCAGGTCCTTATAATTCAAGACTGGGTCAGGTCCTCACAGTCAACCCAGTTCTAAAGCCTGGGCGATCAGGCATTATCATGCCCACACAAGCTACGGACTCATGTGACAAGCTTCCTGGCCTCGATCACTCTGCTCTCCACAAATGCTAAATTCGCCCGAGATGCTGGATACCGCATATGCGAAAATGCAATCCACCGCAACCAAACGCACCTCAGGAGATCTACTTTGTTCCAGCTTTATTGAAGCACTTCAACTTTGAAAACCAACTCCGATTTACAGTCCACAGCATCTCTCCGACTTGGGCGAGAGGGTTCTCAGCATGCGACAGGAGTTTTCGTTCGAGAGTACACCGTTCAAACGCATTGACAAGTTTTTTCTAGCGTTTCGTTCCCAGGTCAAGCTGGGTAGTTCAATCATTGGATGTTAACTTAGGTCAGTTCACAAGCAGCTTACCTTAACTCTAGAATAATCATACTTATCTTTATTTGCTGTCCTAACTAAACCATACCCTAGAACTCGTTTCGCTGTTTCAAATTCTGATGATGCTTTTACATTGCGACCATCTAGTGACCTCAAAAGCAAAGCCGCTGGTCATGCCATATTAGAAATAGTCTTGAGTACACGTGATGAGACGGGGCTACTGTACTTGATCCCCGTTGATGGCGGGTTCGGTGCGATTCAACTAGGCACGCAAGTACCGTAGTCGTGCAGCAGAACCGGCAGACGCTTAATACATTGCAGGATTTTGTGCTATCTCAAATCCTAGATTTCAACCAATAAACGATGGGTTTACTGTCAAAGCTCCCAAATTTTTCAACTAAAGCGCCCACAGACGTTGTGGTTCCTTGCGGGAAAATCGCATAAGTTGGCACGCTTGAAGTAGACGAATTTGAACTCGGACGTCAACAAAACAACGGTATTTGCAGGAGAGGCAACGGCATCGCCCACTTCAGCATCCCGCAGCGATCCTGCCACCAAGTTGCCACCTGGAGTCTTCCGTCACCTGGCCAACGATAGACGCACTATGACCACATCGTTATTGGCTACCGCTGGGCGGGATACATAAAGAATTTCTAATAAATCTAGAGTGCAGAGCTCTCCTCGCATCATGCGCATGCGTGTCCTAAAGCCTCCGGATATCTTTGTAGGACACAGCATTTCTTCCGAATTTGGATTGATATGACTAAGCCTTCTACCTCAAGTGTTCTGAACGACGTTCAGGAGGCGCTTTTCTGAGGCCTTATTAGTAATTAGTACATGGGGACTGCGAATAACTCAGCAAAGAACCGCAATCCTATGCATGACACCGCGACATGGGTGGCTATCTTATTTATCCCTATAAAACTTCATGATCTCTCCAGCTTCTCTATAAGCTTCGAGCGATTCCCGCTGGAAGCGGATATAATTCACCGTACAGGACGACCGACCCCAAACCTGAAGAGAACCGTTTGGAAAATCGTGACAGTTCATTGAGACGGAGTACTTGACCACCTGAGAGAATTTCTCTAACATTCTGTTCCCAAACCGATCGACTGGCTAAAAAATGCCAACCAAAAGAATAGATTTGTGCGTAACCAGTACAGTGCTAAGTCATAACCAGCGACGTCGACACTTATGCATGGCTTATCACTTCGAATGACAGCTAAATGTACTTGCAACACCAATGACTTACAAATCCGTAACCCACAGAGCTGTTTTGTTTGTGGACGCTTCACCGTCATGTAAAGTTGAATTTGAGCTTTGGCTTTTAAAGCACCACAAGGCACTGATTCAGACAAGCATCTAACTGATGCCTTAAAACATTGAAACGCTGTGCATAATTAACTTCCCTTATCCAAGCGATTTAGTGAACTGGCTTAATCCCGTTCGTTTGAGGACAGACGTATTCCACTCCCGATTTCGATAAGGGTACTCGGACATATGGCGTCAATCTTAGAAGTATTAGTCTAATTTGCTGTGTGTCTAAAGTGCACGCCACACAGCTTTTAAGGATACCCAGATTATTTCTGGAAAAAAATATAAGCAAAGAACAAGCCACTTCATCTATGTCCAGGGACTGTATCGACCAATACATTGTGAACCGCAAAATGCTCGAGAAAAGCCCAACGTCCGGCCATTCAAAATTGTTGTTTTTCTTAGACTTCCGAACCATCAGTGAAAGATGACCGTTTACCTTCTACACTATAGTCACCCTCAGCTCTCAGCCGAGTGAATGCGTATGGCGGAATTCCATCCCCTTGCAGCAACCAGTGGAATGAGACAAGACTGCCAAACACTGAATTGTCTTTTAGCTTGGTTGTGAACATCTTGCACAGTTCGTTGATCATTAGCAACCCAAGATGCATGGAGCTGCTTCCAAAAATCACCTTCACGTCCTGTAGTATATTTTACAATAGTCGTCGTTGATTTACCTCGAAAACTGAGTCAACACCAACGGTTGCACCGATGAGGTCTATTTAAGTCTTTGATATTCGGGTTGCGTTTGCCAAACCCCACCAAGTGTGGTGTCGACGTTCCCCGGGCTATCCCTGGATGATGGAGCCAAAAGTATACGGTACGAGCGATCATTTTCTAGTGTTACGAGAATTGCAGCTTTCTCTACATAGTGTTTAGAGGATATCTGCCTTGGATCATTTCTCTATTCGGAGCACTGTTGGCGTACGATGGCAAAATCACACTCGAAATAACGTCGTACATGCAAATATTTTACAATCAAACAGACGCTGCTGACCTTTAATCTGTATAATTTCAAGGCGCCGGTTATGGTGAACCGTGCCATGCTTCTCATTCTAGCTAAGCGTTTGCTCTCTTTGTGTATGCAAAATTGGGCGGGAAGCGCATGTAACATTACCAACGAGTGTTCTACACCCTAAGCATGTAGGGAATGACCGTGTTCAGCTATTCTAGAATACTGAGCTTGATGTGGAAAATCAAGAACAATTCTGACTGAATCAACTTCCAGGTATGACAAGAAATTGTACCCAGTAGTAGACATGTGAGGTTCTACATCAATGATGAGAGTTTAACCGTGTTTAGCTATTTTATCCTGCATATTGTATTTGTATATATGTTGTGCTCTTCCGTTAGTGTGAGACGATGTGCCACTTGTTAAATATATTCAAGCATCTATCCCTTTGCAATAATTATTTGGGTACTACTGAGTAGTAGTGAGGATTTTGGATGTCAAAACAGTAAGAATAAGAAATTGTTTAATATGATGCACAGTGTTGCGTGCAAAAAAGACACAATTTGCAAGGTCATTTGGTTCAAGGGAAAAGGATGAATAACGTTACCAGGACGAGACTAGTCGTAAATACAGCCTGCTTGCATCAATTGGTATTTGACCGCCAGAAAGCTGAAGACTCGGCAAGTTGAAGCAAGCGGGTATATTTTTGAAGGTTAGTTACTTTAAATGAATCAGGAGGAAGTGGGCACGTAGTGCCAGGATGTATTGCACAATGGAAATGGCCAGCAGTTTGGGACCGTTAGCGTACATGTTGAATGCGATTTGCTCTGAAATTTTAGTGAACAGACTCCTCTCAATACGGCCGACATGCTTCCTACCACAAATAGAATAGAAAAGATAAAATAGTGGCGGTTAATTTTGGTTGTGATTTGTCTAAGTAGGATCTACAGAGCAACTTCTTAACTTAGTGCTATAACACCGGTTTGGCGGGTGTCGTTTAATAGGTCACAAAATGATGGAATATTTAGGCTCGGCAGCCGTCAGGCAGTAGATAAATGTTATTATGCGGCAAAAAGGTGTTATAGCACATGGACAAGCTGCAAACCTCAAGGTACCGCATCCTGGTTTTTCTCCTTTACTCTTCTTGTTGAAACAAGTACCTTGACCGAACTGTGAGGTGTCTTTTCGCTAGGATTTCAGAGCCAATTCTACGAAACATGGTCGTTAACGGTCCCAAGCTGCGGACTAGCTTTAACGCACAACACATCCTGGACTTCCCTAAGTGCCTACTTCTTCGTGATTCCTTTAAATAATTAACTTACAGAGCAATGCCCGATAGCTCCAGTTTGCCGAGGCTTCAGCATTTCGAGGTCAAAATACAAATTACGCAAGCAGACAGAACTTACGACTAGTTCTGACTTTCCTTGATAAGGGAATTGCTTGTTTTCCTTTGAAGTGAATGATCTTGTACATTGCTTCAATTATAGACGATCCGAGATATTTCCACGGTATGTATGTAAACAACTGTTTATTATAAATGAAATACCAGAATTCAGTATATCCTACTTAAATATTATACATTTACCTTTTTTAAATTTGTGAATCAAAAATCTCGCAGGAATTTGCCAATATAAATCGAAATCAAATGGTCCAAACAAATTGACTTCTCTGAATGGAAAGAATGCGACAAGTAAAAATGACGCAAATAAAATAGTATACGGTTTACGGTGCAGGTGTATAAAAAGGCACTTACTCTCTGAAAAGGTAGCATCAATATTTGTCAAACCCGTTTCAAAAGATAGCCCTGTGTACATAACCGTCATCGCATTGCTATTGGAGACAATGCCGTTTTGAAGAATACTGGAATCACGAGGAAGCTCTGAGAGCATAGTGCCTCCACAGGTGCTTCCATCTAACACACGCAACCGAGCGCTGAACGTTGGCATCTGTTGAAAAGGATATTATGATTATTTAATAGAGAGCTAGCAAATAGTGTTATATAAAGCAATGAACATAAATCAGTTCCATTGCTGGCAACATAGATGACAACTTCTAAAAAGTCGTTCTAAGTTTGTGACTTACTTTATTTGTTCAATTTAGGGGTGAAGCACTCGCTTGCCGGTTGTATGATTTTGTGCTCAATGTTAACTAAGATTATTCACCTCATTTGGTCGCATCTCTTGGGAATTATGCTCAATCGATTGGGATCGCCGAACTTTATTCAACGGGATGAATGATTTTGATTCAGGTTCAACGACAAGCAGCACACAAACAATGTCTTCGGCCATTCAGTCGTTTAGACCTACATGTGCAAACTTGCTTTTCGCGTTCCTTCAGTGAGATTGTGTTTCGCTTTGACAGAATTCTTTCCAGCTTACTGGACGATATATAGCATCCAATTGTGCAACACCATCCAACGTATCTGCTGGTTATTTGTCGCCCTGCATCTAACACTGCGATAACTCTTCCGTATTTCTGCATATGTTCTTGTGATTTGATCCGCCGGTGCTACAAGTGACGTTTCACTAACAAACCCGCTGGCACAGCGGTAATCCCGGCTGACTGTGGTAAATATTAGCTTTGTTAACAATTGGTGTAACCGGAGTGCATACGAAGCATTGGCCCATGGGCGTGAGAGGTTTGTTGCCCAGAAAACCCGTGAATAACAAGCTGTAGTTCAAAACAGAGAATCCTAGGATGAGGTGGTCGTAATCAGTCAATTCTTATTATGAAACAACAGTAAAATAAATGGATAGAGCAGCGTATGAGAACTCTTTGGTAGTTCTGTTATGCACGTTCAGGTAGTCTTATGTTTAGGATTGCTCAAACCCTTGTAACGAGAGGAGAACTTATGGTTGCTTCGTCATCCGAGCAAAAGCAACATGCTGTGTTAGGGAAAACGCAACCGCTGAACTTGAATTAAAGTGCAGTGTGTTACGATTCCCCAATCATAAAATTGTTAAAAAATAAATAGACTAGTAAACAGGCCACATAATTTAGCGGAAGAGGAAATTTATTAGGAAAATGCAGCAATCCCTGCAAGAAAGTTGCATGGTCTCCAAACGTTTTTGGAAATATTGCATGGCAATAAGAATAATACAGCAATGGGGGTAACACCTCCGTTATTCGATGGGCAACAACAATTGACCAGTAGAGATGGGACGACTAACACTGTTGCACATAAACAGTCTTGCGTACGACTTCAGCTGATTTCACAGTACATACTGCACAAGAAATATCTACAGGAAAACGTTACTACTCAGCCGAAAAGCGATATACCTGATTTGTCCAAACGTCCCAGAACCCGTTAGCAAAGTTTTAAATAGCAGATAATCCGAGGAGCAAAACCATTGTGTTAAGATTAGCTGACAACACGGACTATTCGTCCTCCTAGTCTGACACACCTTTTGATATCCATCATCTACGTAAGTAGTGGAATATTGCCTAATGCCAGAAAACGTTAGCTAAACAGGAGACCTGGATGATGTTCCCTTAATAAGCCTCAACCTAGTGAAATTTTATGTTAGTCTTTGCATTTGTACAGGCAAGACATGGGCAGAAATGCGGAAGCTGAAGTCGGACCCGAGTGCGCCACGCCCAAATAAAAGGAGACAGTACAACTGGTTCATGGTGTAACGGAGTTGAAGTGTGCCGACAACGAGCAACTCAAAATACGTCAGTTAAATATTGAAGCACATCACAAAGTTCTGTGACATGCAAAATGATCTGGTATTTTATATCAACAATCTAGTTGCCTAACCAAACTACCCCTGTGGCGGGACAAAATGTTAGGAGTTACCTTGACTATGCCCGAATTGGTATCAATAGAGATCCAAATGTGGCACGACAACAGCAGAAATGGGCTACCAAAGTCGGGTTAATATCTTTCACTTAAGCGGTAAAGGCATTAAATTCTGAAGAGGCAGATTCGTTTTTCCTAACTCAGATCAGCCAACCAGACATACAACGATACCCAAATTGTGCCGCTCAAAGAGAAGCCAGTTCTTAATAAGTCAGCAAATGCAATGCTGCTGCACCAACGCTCCAGGGATCTACTCTATGCTTCCACAATTGCGCCATTAACTTGAATGAACTTCTTGGGTAGTCATGGAAAGGCATGTAACGTGGCTTTCAAAAGACTAAATAGGTCCAGGAATTAAACTCAGTCATTTGGAATGATCGGCAATTTCGCGGTGGGGACTTGCTGTCTACTACCGATGGTACCTGAAATATGAGGCACATATCAAGCACTTTTTTATATTTCCGATGCAGTATTTGCCGATTGCAGCTAGTACGTCGAGATGGCTTATCTCAGAAGAAGACGAGTCTACAGTCACCTGCACTTTTCCGCATGCAGCGAGGATTTTCTGTTACACGCTGTCTACTATGTTGCTTCAAGAACTTACGCCTGCTATATTATAAATTTGCTACTTCAAAGGATCATCAATAGTATTGGCACCTAGCTGTGGATCATCAGTCCAATCAAAACTGGTTGAGTTTATGCTGACGGCAATTTTGTATACTCATATGCATCTAATAACCAAACACCGCGGTTCAAACAATCTACCACTGCTGGACTTAATTTGGACTGATGCGCAGTTATTGATTGACTCAGTCACATACGACATTCTACTAGGTAGTATCGACTGTTCAGTCCTAAAGTATGACCAAATGAATTAGGCTTATATGGTTAAAAATGAACGCACAAGCTCCGAACAAACTTCGCAAAGTGCCAACTGCTGACCATGCGCCGCCGCATCATCAACACATAGCTACTGAGCAACATGTCATGAAACCAATACGCAGTGTAAGTGACTTAGGCATTATCGCCCAATAATGTCTTGGCAGTCAGCTCCGATGTTCGAAAGCAGCCTACTTATAGTTCGAGGCCTTCGAGGAGAACTTCCAAAAAATTTTAGCAACGGCTGGTGCCGTTGATGAATAATTAGTATATTCGTCTGCGACTTTGAATATGCAGATAATGTTTGACAGCTATGGCTAAAATAATAAACTCGTGTCTTGAAGCAGCATCAAAGACTGGCCACGAAGAACAATAGTGGACTATCTATTCTCATTCACAAACTACGCCTACCTTAAGTTGATGCGCTCTTCACAAAATGCCTACGGCCTCCTGGAGACGGCTTTCTAACATACTGCGCAGTAACTGAGGGCACTCACCCTAAGAATACAGGACTGTCCTTAGCCCCTTCAAACAATGCCAAGGTCACCGCCTCAGGCAGTTAACGAAACGCTCCATTTTGGCTCAGAGAAAATATGTACGCTCTCGTTGTACCGGTTTCCACCAATATGGTGAATACACCAAATATTGCAACTTTCGTGAGCACTGGCATTTCAAATAAATGAAAAACGCTGCACAAAATTGTGCAATGTCTCGACAGCTGATATTAGTATTTCCACGCTGGAATTCTCTGAGTTATATTTGTATATGTATTTGTCATCTTCTGTGTCTTGTACAGTTGATTCTTTCTCATCATGCATTACTGAACAATTAAATGGACTCATGGGAATATAACTGATGGAGATATGGTCTGTGTTAGCGGACACATAAATGTCGTAGCTAGGCTGCAGTCTGTTTGATGGATGAAAAGGCAGGTGCAGTTCCATGTGAGTTCATGAGCTCGTAGGTCTGAAAGATACCCACCAGTAACTGAATACAGGTTTGATAATTAAAATGCCAGATTTGCAACGCAAGCAACTCACAATTAGGGATTTTAAAATAAGCTGCACTTTTCTTCCTGGAGTTACGGTGATTCGCCAAACACAGACTACTGTACTTGTTGAAATAATTCGGAAAGAGAAATTTCCATTTGGCCCACGCAACTCTCCTCCACATTGACCTGCAAAAATACATCTAATGTTAGGCGGTTTTACCAATGCGCCATCGTACGATTAAAGGTTAGTGTGTGGCATAATATTCCACCGAAATACGTAGGCAAGTCTTAATTGCTACATGTTAATGCCAACGTATATTCTTAGGAAAAATCAGGAAATTTCAATCGTTATTTTGGCCGTCGTGCAGTCGCATCGCGGGATGAAGATTACCTATATTTCGTAATCCAGAGCGGAGGAAGAAGCCAATAAAATCAAACACGTCCACTGAGTCGACAATTGGTAGTTACTCAGCTTATCTGAGGAAACAACCTTAAATCTATTTTTTTAACTAAACGAATCAGGATCAATTAAAAATCGCAGTTCAACTTCGATGACGAGATGGCAATGGGCCGCTTTCGATATTTAGGTTGAAGAGACGGAACTCACGCTCAGGTTAGTTTTACGGGTAGTATAGGCAGCTATCAACAAAGTACACGAGTGTGTTCATGCTGCGCTACATTTCAAACGGATACAATAATTCCATAGTTTGAAAAATCACATTGGGTATGGCTAAAGCGCAAAAGATATGAGGAGTAAATTGCACGCCGAATCACTACATTTTCACAACCCGAGACAATCACAGAAGACATCGACTTATCTGCTGTGTTTGTTGCTGAATTACTGGTGAAAAAAGTAGGGGATCTCCGACTCTTGTATTGTCATATAACTCGCAAACAGTCGACAGAAACTGAGCACATGCAATATCGTGTTGTAGGTTGCAAGAGTGAGGGAATGCGTACGGTCGTGTGGCGGCGTTGAACCGAAAGTAGATAATGGTACCTGGACAATCGTCAGTACCTATGACCGTGTAATGAGTTAAGGTGGATTTGTAAGCCTTGTTGCACAGTGCATTGTAAACCTGGTTTAACTAACCTTGGGCCGTTCGCGGAGTTGATGCGTCTGTGAAAAGACAAATAATGCTCCAGTAATTCCACTGTGAATGCATTTGGCTATAATGCCATAATTGCCTCTCAGTCACAAACAATTTGACTGCAGTCTAAGATGCAATGTCTCATAAACCTTTTACCGCAAGCTTTGTGAATGGGTGGCATTTTATGGTCATGGACTGGCAACCGTATTATTCATGACTGAGCTTCTGTAGTGTATGAGTCACCTAGCTTTTCCCGACACAGTTAGTCGTAATCCACATTTGAAAGATAGCAGCTCAATTCCCAACATCGCCCGGAACTAAATCATCCAAAACGTAAAGTGGTTTTTGTCTGCTCGGTGAACAGGACCTTATCAGATTTACGTTTCCACTATTGACAAAAGATAAACTGAAATTAATTCGTGTAGATAAGTCCGTGTCGTCTATGGTTCCATTGGCAAAGCGGTTGTTTAATGCAAGATGTTTGACAGAAATAAACGTTTGATCTAGCTTTCCGTGTGTTACAGTATGCTTCAGTCATTTATATATTTGAACGATTCCTGTTCAAAATATGGAAAGTACACCTGCTGCGTTTCATAACATATATCCACCAATATTACGCTGCTAAACGCGTGTAAGAATAAGAGTTTAACAAGTTTTCTAATGTAGACGCTGTTTTGAAAGCGTTCAGCAGGTTGGGTGACTCGCAATCAGTTATGCTATTTCATTTTTGTGATAAACTATGCCGGTTGGTTGAAGAATTAATTTGTAACGAGCTCGTTAACTACTTCTTCATCGAAATGCTCACGCCTTTCTATCAGACGCGTTCAAAAATCTCGCACATAAGAATTTAGCTAAAGATAACAACCCTCCGGACATAATAAGGACGGTATCCTGACACTGCTTAACAAGTATGCTGACAGAAAAGTGGTATAATGAGATAACCATTTACTTTGGATAATTTGTGTTTAATATTATTCGCAAAGCTGTCAACAAGGTAACTTACTCATTCCAGAAACTGAAATAATAGAGATTGGAACCAGAAAATTGTGAAAACGGCCTCATTGTTCCATGCGTGATTGAAACGGAAGGTTGTTTTCCAATATATATAAAACTCTGCTTTGCAATGTCAATGAGCATATCGTTCATTTGCTTCTATTTTACCTGCACTCTACACTTTCGCGACACAGAACCTCTATTCCTCAGATCAATTTATTCCACATCGGTGCGATCCCTTCGGAATGCGATATTCCTTGCCATAAACGGCATACAAAATTATCTCTGTTCCAGTTTTGCTCAGTAAAGGAGACAAAAATGATCCCTTCCTAAACTTCTGACACCTTTCCTTATTCATCGAAATAATTTACTCCATTCTAACTCATGGTGTCCCTAGGGTCGATCCAGCTGACCGTATTCGAACTGCTTCGGACCAAGTTATGACCAGATCATGATTTAGTAGATGTGTATTGTACAGCGACAATAAAAATCATTTTACTTAGTTCAGTAGTCTTCTACATACGACGTAGCTTCACTACCCACTAATTGTTCCCCTTGTAATTCCACTACTACGAAAATTGCTTAAGTGTCAATACGTGATTTCAAAATTCGTGCACAAATTCCTGTGGGAGCATCATCACGCAATGAATAATTCAATTTCCCATCTGCAGTATCTCACTGAATTCTTTGGCCGGCAAATTTAGTCAAGTAAACATAAGTTTTAAGCACCATGAGTGGACAAGTTTGGCAATTTAAACAAGACTACGGATCTACTATGAAACAGCGGCAACGAAACTTTACAAGTTGACATTTAAAATACGCAATGTTGCCAATGCAATTGATCTATCAATTGGTGCGTCATAGGGTTTGCATCGACTAAGATAAGTAGCAGAGGTAGAAAGATGAAATCGTGCTGCAACAAACTCCGAAAATACAGATCGTCTACTGACGAGTGCTTAGATGATATAGATACCGTACAACCAACAGCAGTTTGTAGGAGGTGATGGGGTCGTTTGGAGTCATTGATACTTGGCTGTGGCATATATGGAAATATTTAGTAACGATAATTTCAATGACGGATTCTTTATTAACGCGAGCGCTGCAAGAATGTTTGCTGAGCGAAAAAGAGGTAAGAATACTTGCAAAGACAGGATCTTTAAAAGCCGTGATGGAGCACACTCATATTTAGAAACCTTGAAATTATTTACGTTTGAGCTAATGTGGAGACCACAGCAAATTGTAAGGCGTGAAAACAGCAGCTGAACAAAGGGTATTGCTAATTTTAGAGCAAATGGGATTATGTATTTAAAACGGAACAAGCTTCCGTGAAGCACAAAAATGACATGCCATAAAAACGCTTGGAATAATAAATGAAGGAAGATGTGGCGCATGCCAATGACATGAACTCCTCTAATCCTCTTTGGATTTCCGAAGTGTCCACAACTACTGTCGCCATACAACTTTGGACGACGTTATCAGCATATTTATGTCGGATGAAATGATATTGCGGCCTGGCGTTCACTTTGGGGAGCAGGTAGTAAGGGGAATTCACCCCAATCCGTTGGAAGTACGGACGACCTTGTGTCACACAGTTGCGTGATTCCTGTGCGATTTCTAAAATAGTCAAGCATTCCAGTGCATACGCATAGGAGAAAGCCAATTCCGAGCAAATTAAATGTTAGTACGAGTCTGTTAATCCTCAAAACGCGTGAAGGAGTACTGCCTGCGCTGGTGGCATCAAGGAGGAACTGGGGCCATTAGCAGTACCGCTTTGGCCCAAATTGTCGACGCGGGGCACCAAGTCGATTGAAAGCATGCCTTCAGGATAATCTACAGGGTCCCCCAGCATCAATCAAGTGGTTTGAGCTTCCGTGCACTGGCGACAGCTGAATCGATTTGCATTCGGTTGTTTCAAGCTTCATTATGCTCGCAAAACAAGTTGCTCCATGCCTTACAGCTTCGCTGGCCAGCTAGAACGAGCGATGCTGATTCGATTGCCACAGATCAAGCTCGATAACATGCAATCGATCTGTCAGTTCAAAGGTCAACTCTTAGCCTCCCTCACTGATCCGTTAATTAACTATGTACTTTTAGCCAATGAGTCGATTTCAGTTCATTTTTCCCTTAGATATGATTGTAATGGTCTGAAGAGAATCGGCGAAAACAATTGTTCACCTATGGTCTCGTGTTCTCTGGGCTCACAAATCTAATGGGGTCATCGTATATTTGTCCAGCGCAGATACATTGACATGCACTAAACATGAAACGGCACGCAATATATAGCACCCTGAGTTGCGGGTACACCGTTTGGCATTTTCTGTATACTCGCCGGTGTAAATAAAAGATAATAGTTGTTTTTCAGACATTTTCAAAATTACAGATGTGCATGTTATTGACAGGAAATTCTGGGATTCTATCCCACGCTCTGGTGATTTTGCCTGCTTTCTGGATCACAGGATGTTGTCGGACATCAAATATTTGCAACAGATCAGTGTCGGAAGTGACTTTGATGCATCCACACATTCTCCGAAAGATTTTGGTGAAAAGACATTAGGGTCATTATCCTTGTTTGCTCCAGGCATATAGCTGACCTGCAAACATGGTGTTGTCAAATAAGTTCGGAGAATCAGTGGTGGTGATCATTGGTCTACTTCAATACAGGTCCATCAAGTAAGGTCTACACATATACTATGAAATATACTAAACCCAAACAATTATGGGTTCTGAGCCACTTGGAACTTTCCACACTGGAGTGTTCCTTCTTAAACACAGCGCCCTGAAGAAACCCAATTTGTAATAATAGCACCTGGCTCTAAAACCACACAAGATAAAGGAAAAGACTCTCCGTTGCAGACCAAATGCGCAATGTCATAAAATGTTCCCCCTTTGAACTAGTACCGAAGATCTCCTGGCTCCTGTTTATTTCTCACAGGCATTGATTCTAGAGGGTTATATTTAGTCTGCGTTTCCACTCCATAATCTTGAAACTGCCATAGTAGAAATGCATGAGGTGCGTCGATCTAAGTCCTTATACGGGCTTCGATATCAACATTATTCCATACGGCTCTAATGGACGAATATTTCTACATTGAATTCCGTCGTCGCTGTTGAGAACTTATCCTTACCAGGCGCATAATAAGATAGAAAAATCGGAATGAACTACAGGAGCTTCTTCAGCTCAACATTAGTGATTCGACACGAAGTCAGAACTAGAAGCTGCTCAGTATGAGGATGCTCAAAGTCCACACCCCTGCAACTCCATCCACTTGGGCAATGAATGACTGAAACGGTGTACCGGAGACTTCGTCTGTGCGCAGACCGAAGAAAGTTTCAAACGACTTTTTGACAGCCATCTACAAAGAAAACTACGATTATGCTGTTTACTGGGACTGCTCCGGCTGCATAAGGACTGCTGGGTCGCAAAGACATACGTATTCCTAACGATAAACTATAGATGGCGGGGCCAAAACGGGACCTCTCCTCTGTCAGTTACGATTGAATGCACACAATGATTCGCATATGTAAATATTCTTACGCATTTCTTGCGAGTAACCTACTCCTAAATGTTTCGAGTAAGCGTGGCCTTCAAATTCAGCCGATGCTGCTGTCACTGGATTATTGCTCTACGCTACCGATTGCCGATCCTTGTGTTTCACCAGCTTATTCTCTGCTGCGTTTCAATGAACCAACAGCAAGGTAACCTGAGTAATCAAAGTACGGTGATCATTTAATATGTCTCCTTGATTTTGAGCGAATATTACGTTGTAAAGCTAATCAAGTTCACAGACGTCAACTATTTATTTAGTCACCGGTGACGGGAACAAACTCATTCAATAGAACAGCAACAACTTTACAAACACAAGAAACACACCTACCTAGATGCATACATTTATGAATCCATATATATGAAAATATTATTATAATCGTGCATTTTGCTTGAGCAATTGTTGTACTTTTATTATTATCATGCATTTAATGGCGTGCATCGCGTAATCGAGGATAATCCTTTATTTATCTATATATTTATTTCGTCAAGTTCAGAAAGAGACACAAAACACAAAGCTTTAAGCGAACAATTGTGTTCGATTAAGTCATCATGTTTAATGCCATAATATACATTAGGCTAAGGCCTCTTGTAATCGTCAACATAACAATGAAATAAGTGATCAGAAAAGTTAACTTGGAATCATGTTTGATGTCATCTTCTCAGATGACTGAAGTTTTGGAGGGCTTGCGGTTTAAGCATCTGCGGAGGAAACTGCTTGGGTATCCGTTGCGTTCAAATGACTTGAATAAGTGTTTTTCTTCTGCTCGTTTCGCTTCTGCCGTACTGCAGTGAGTTGCTATTCTCTGGAACAGTGTCTGCACACAGCCTATTTTGTGACACCTTGGGTGGTTGCTGTGGAAATTCAAAATCTGATCGGTGTGCGTGCTTTTTCTGTAAACTGAGGTTTGCAATTCGCCGTCCACTGTTCTGGCTACTAACACATCCAAGAAAGGAAGTTTGTTTTCCTTCCTGATTCCATTGTAAACTGTATGCCGTCCAGGAAGAAAGCTGTCCACCAGGATACATGAACACCAAAGAGCGTGCAAGAAGCATTACGCAACCTCATTGGTTTCAGCACACGTGGATGAAGAGGGACACAGGTTCGACTGGAACAAGGTAGAGATCTTGACCGGAGGAGAAACACAAAGAGGGAGGGAGTTTCTCGAAGCCTGGTTCTCAACCACCAACTCAATCAACATGCATATCGACCTCGATCCAATATATCAACCGCTGAGACAGAGAGATTTCAAGAGGATCAACAACCGTTGTCCGAATGAACCTAATGCAACACACGCACAATGAACAGCATGGTCAATATGAGCCCAGACTACTCACCCACATCTCCTGCACCAATCCGAGTGCGATAAGCCCAACCACATCGCAACCACATTTCCGCAGCCAATGACATTGACTCGAGCACAACCGCTGAACACAAGGATTCACCAATGAGATCGAGGCAAAATTAAT